ACTAAAGCTAATCTTCATCAATTCACTTGTAGAGAGAGTATACACTCTTACAAGAGGCATTATAACAAGAGGCAAATCCAATCTTGAAATCCCTGGCCAAAATATGGCCAAAACAGAGAACTGCCATAAAATAAATCTCATACAGTTTTTTAATAAATTAGGTCTGGCAGCAAAACTGGTTCCTTTTAATAGGTTTCAGTCTAAAATGTTTGAGTGGCTCATCAAAAATCGATACTATTATAACAGGGTACCTATTTAGTTTCTAATGGTAATATTTATTTTTAATTTAGAACCCACTATTTTTTATAGTTTTAGTTTTTATTTCTATTGACTATATGTCTATTCCTTGTAAAAGGTTAACGACAATAAAGCTCTTGATTCGTCAACTGTCTCAGTAACAAACTAAGTGAGAAAATAGACTTTTAGCCATTATACATTATTTAGGTGGCTCATTAAACTCAGCTATTTTTTATATAAACAGGCTTCAGCTCGCTGGTCCAACAAAAGTCAATGGAAATGCCACTCTTTTCTGTTGTATTTCATGGTTCATCAATTGAACAAATTATGAAGTTCTGTGCAAGTTATTTACACATAACCAAAAGCATATGTGGTATTTATGCTAAGTTATTAAAGACACTGAATTATCTGTAGAGGTGAGAGGGCATTAGCCTTAGCTTCCTGAAGATGATAAAAGTATTGCATAACTTCCTGAACTTAGGCTTTCTCCAGTTGCTTAGCCAGTTCTCAAAGTAGAAGTGTGTCACTATGTTTCTATGTTTCCGTACTTTGCATAGATTATATAACGTTAAATCTTCTTATACTATAACAATTTTTGTGTTTTTGGCTTGGAAAAATTTTTGAGTGGTGTTTTGTGGTTGATCTGAGTGGTGTTTTGTGGTTGATCTGTACAGTAGTTGTCTGATGATGAGTTGTACATTCATTGCTTAACCCCCAAAGAAGCTATTATCTATTGGCCTTCCTCCAATTAGGACTTTTAACTACAAATGTGTGATGTAGTTATTTGAGCTCAGTGCTTCAGGGTGGCATAAATTTGAGCAGGTACTGAACATGTTTGTTTTCTGTAATAGCATCTTCCTGCATTTTTTATTTTCATGTTAAAATAAAAATAGTTATTTAACCGGGGCTAAATTAACACAAGAGCTAACATAGTAATAATGAACTACAGTAAAAAAGTAAATAAATGAAATCCCTAAATTTAATTCAGTTAATTGAGTAATTGTCGTGAAACATTCAGTTATAGATATCTAGATAGATTTAGTACATTACACCATTTTGCATCGCGAAACATTGCAATTTTCGTTGTTACCTTCCCAAACAGAAACAATTACATCGGGAATGTTGCTGGAAGTCAACAGTACCGGAAGATCAAATAATTTATACCTGTGCCGCTAGGTCAAAAACTACAATGTTTGCAGTGTCTGTAGATCAAAAATCCCAGTAAGTCAAATAGTACAGTCCGAGCTAAAAACGTGGTCTATGTTAAAGCAATTGACTTATTGGGAATTTGACCTAATGCAACAGCAGTTTTAATATAACGAAATACGGTAAAATACAAGTTCAGTTTCGCTGAGTCAACAGTGCCGGAAGATCAAAAGCAATAAAAGTGAACGTCGATTCAGTGTAAAGTAGACCTCCAGCAACGCTTACTACACCAACAAAACTCGCTTTTAGTTACTTCGTGTTTTGTCATAATTAGAATAAAGCTAAAATTATCATATTTGGTACATAGCTTATCTATTAATGCTTCTTGCCAACTGTTTGGTCAACACTGTAAATAGGTATAGTTTATGTAATGAAAAGCCTTTCGTCAAAATTTGTGGCATAAAATACACGCAAGGACGATCTGAAAATTTCTGGTTATTATATACGTTTGTAAAAGGAGATCCATTTAATTGTAGAACTATTTTATGAGTTATAATGTAGTCTACACATAAACTGTGTAAATGTATTACGCCTCGGAAGGGTTGAAACCTGTCCAAACTATCATATATATTATTAAAACGTAAATGAGGTTTTTCACATTCTGAATCAACCAGTCGACGGATTTTCATTATTTTTATGTTGAAAGAAAGATAATTTTGAGAACTAGGGAATGTCAAAGCCATAATTATAATTAAGGGTCCCAGTTTTTTAGAAATTAAGTTTCAATTTTTAAAAAGTCTAGCAGCCGACGCTTACCTTCTAAGCTAGCTTTTAGTACAATATAATTTGCTTAACATAACAGCTGTAAACATTCAGCATTTGGAAACAAATTTAAAGACATATTTAGAGTTGACATAGTTATACTATGTGTAATGCTGACCATTGATCCATTCAATTCTTAGGTATGAGGATGGCAGATTAATTAAATATGCATAGTAAAATTGTAGGATGTTCAAATTATTTTTAAAGGAATCTTTATAATCATTGATTTGTTTTAGTCCCATATAATTTGTTTTAACTAACAGCTGGTTGAATGTAATATTGTTCTATATAACTATTACGTTTTTGGCGAATATCCCATATAGGGAATAAGCTATTACCGTAGTACTTATGGTAACACCTGGACCCGCGGGACCGATTTAATTTTTCGTTTTGAGGTCCCTAGAGGCCAAAAACACCATCCGTTCAAATTCATATATACAGGGTGATCAACTCAAGGAGTCCACCATTGGGAAATCGGAAACGGTAAGAATTAGAGAAAACTTTAAATGGGGCACATACCTTTAATTTTTGTGGCAGTTAAAATATGATTTTAGTTTTTTATCATGTTTTCGGATAGAATATGCAATTTAAAAACTTTGTTAGCTTTGACATTTTTTTGATGAACCCACTCGTTTAGGATTACAGCCTATGGAAAAATGACTTCCGGTTTACATTTTACATCATGTAGCTCCTAAACGAGTAAGCTTAGAGCAAAATTGCAAAAAGTAAATCAGTCTTAGAATTGCATCTACATTCCTTTAAGACTATAAAATAAAAAGTTTTCCACTTTTCAAGTTTGCCGCCATTTTTTTAAATAATATAATTCATATTTTTAATGAATTTTATGGTCTTTTAGGAATGTGGATGCAATTGTAAGACTTTTTTACTCTTCCCATTTTTGCTATAAACTTACTTGTTTAGGAGCTACATGATGTAAAATGTACACCGGAAGTCATATTTCCATAGGCTATAACTCCTAAACGAGTCGGTTTATCGAAAAAAATGTCAATTATAAAAAAGTTTTTAAATTGCATATTCTACCCGAAAACATGATAAAATATAGGGTGTTCCATAAGAAATTTCAAATTTGGCCGCCATTTTGGAAAATGGCGGCTGAATTTCAAAAAAACTAAAATCATATTTTTAACTGCCCCAAGAAATAAAGGAATGTCCCCCATTTAAAGTTTTCTCTAATTCTTACCGTATCCGATATCCCAATTACAATTGAAATTGTAATTGGACACTAGTAAGTACCAGTGCACTTGTTGCTACCTCCCCCCTTCGGTTTCATGTATTCCTCTCAATCACTTCAAACCTAGGAGGATTAAACATTAATGTTAGTTAATGTTAAATCCTCCTAGGTTCAAACCTTAAACACCCAGATCGAAACTCGCCTGTCGTTATTTTAACATCGCTTAATTTTTTTTACTATATTTTTCAAAAAAGGAAGATTAAATTGATTTACTTTGGATTTTAAAAAGTGGACGTTTTATTTTATTAAAGATTTATGGTGATACGTAAATATTGTGGTATAGTAAAGTATGTAGTTAAGTGTTAAATTTCGAAATTTTAGGATGAATCGAGATGAATCTTTTTTTATAACATGGGTCTCTCCTACCTTAACATACATACCAAGTTTCATAAACATCGGTTGGAAAAGTGTAAAGATAAATATTTGTATGTAAAAAATACAAAATGGCGGATATCTGGTTAACGAAACGATTTTGGAAAAAATGTTATCGTTCATTTTCTGTTTATTTTGACCCAAGGAATTACTAGGTAAAGTGTCTCTCCGCTTATTTTTAATACCTTGTTTGTGATGTATTCTTATTAATATAAGTGAAAAATGTAAGCTGGTAATACAGAAAGATGTTTTATAAATAATATGAATGTACTGGTAATCTGTATATTCATCTTTTTCTTGTCCTTAGAACTGTAAATTAAAAGTCCACTCAGCAGTCGCATCGTACGATGTAGTTCTTTCCATGCGTTGCGAAATGCTAAATTTGCCATCCTCTTCAACCCAAGTTATCTATTGAACCACTGATTGTAAAAAATTCAAAAAAATATATTTTACGCATCACACTTTTGGCTACAACTTTGGCACAGACAAAACCTCTCTAACCCAAAAACAAACAAAAATCTCGCATGCTAACTTTTTCATGTTAGAAATCACGATTTAAAACTATTTCACCATACATATCAATTTTTATTAATTATATCGGTAAATAGTTTAAAGTTCCAACAAAATAGTCATTGAGTAGGACTAACCAAGAAGCTCTGTGCCAATTTTCAAAATCTTAGTACAACTTTAAGTACACCAAAACACGAAATTATTGAAGTCATGCGTCGAGAGGACTATCGTTGTTTTTAACAGACTATACTTTTGACCTTCCGGCACTGTTGACTCAGCGAAACTGAACTTATATTTTATCTTATTTCGTTTTATTAAAACTGCTGTTGCATTAGGTCAAATTCCCAATAAGTCAATTGCTTTAACATAGACTACGTTTTTAGCCCGGACTGTACTATTTGACTTACTGGGATTTTTGATCTACAGACACTGCAAACATTGTAGTTTTTGACCTAGTGGCACAGGTATAAATTATTTGACCTTCCGGGACTGTTGACTTTCTGCAACGCGTCCATTACATCTGTATTGTTGTAATGTCATAACGATGCAATGCAGTGCAGAGTGCAGTCAGCTGATATGAGATGTAGTACAAGTATTTGCCGCCGCGCGCGCCATCCTCGACCACCACCTGTTGGCTCTGCGGTGGTGGGGGTGACGCGCAGCGGCTCCGTCAGTGTTTGTTTGACGTCGCGCCGGCTCGTAACGTAGGTTATGTTTACACAATGTTCATGCCCCGCGACGTACACAGCCGTCCACGGCCACCCGTGCCTCCGCGCCCCAACAAACACATCTTGGACGAAGCGATCGCCAAGTCCAAGACGAAAGTGGTTTCGCCGGACGGAGTGATATCCGTCACTAAAAACGGAGGACCCAACTTCAAAAACGGACACCAAGCCTTGGGCCAACACGTGCACGAAAACGGCCATCGCAGACCCACGGTGCTGTTGATCACCAACGGCAAAACCCTGGTGCAGGACTTCCACAAGGAACCGTCACCGCCGAGGATCAAACATTCCGCGTGGTACGAGGTGGAGGAGAGCGGTCGTCCTGTAAAGTACTCTAGTTGTCAGATAACTCTAGATGGCTCTTCTTCTTCCAGCGGCAGTCCGCCTCCCCGTCCGCGGCCCAGCATGTCCTCACTGCAAGGACTTCCTCCACTACCCAAGAGCCTCAGTGGTATCAACCTGATGGACAGTGTTAAAGTGTCTACCCCCGTGGTGCAAGACTCTCCTAGAAGTTCTACGACGCATCAGCTAAGGATACCTTCTACACCGCCGCCGCCGCCTCCTAGTGAGCCCAAGAAACAGTTACCCCAGAGGAAGATGACTACCCTGGACACCCAGCTGGCGATCCTCAGGAAGGAGATGGTGAGTCGCACACGTAGATGTTGTAGCATGGTGTAGAAATATCACTTTTCATAGCTCCATTTGATTTTTCTCACAGTAGTTTTGCGTTTTCTAATAATTTTAGGATATAGTGTGGAGTTCGTGTAAAGAGTTGTATTAGTTTTTGCAGCATCGTCTAATATGGCAATTAAAATTACGTTGCTTGAAGACTTGATTATCATATCATTCAACAATTTTGTCCTGCTTTAAATGTTTGCATTCTAATTTATAAGTACCCCTGAATCTCAGTTGGCGTGGTTTGCTTTTTTGGCTCCGACCAGACACCCCATCTGTATTATCAGTGTGTCCTATTTGTTTACTATATTATCTATCAAAGATGATTTAAAATTCCAACATTAAATAACTAAACACTCGTGGATACAACTAGTCTTAATAGAACAATTAAAAATAGTCAAAATAATCTAGAAAATATTAGATTAATTTTTAGAAACTGACATCGTAATATGTCTTTATTCCTGCAATTAAATGGCCCCAATACTAATTTTTAATTATTCATCTAAATTAGCATTTTTTTATGTCGTAGTTAGATGTTTAGATTCCGTATAAAACAATATCACCACAATTTTGTAAAGACAATTGTGTTAAAAATCGCATGAAAATCTATCTTGTTTGATCAAAAAGTGTTTGAAATTCATTTGGATACAGACATTCATTTGGATGTCTTTCTGTCTATGTGGACTAGCTAGCACCATAGGAGTAGACATTCTGCTCAGAGAGTGTGATGCTGTCTAAAATTCTATTTCTTCTTCTAGTTTTTGTAACTTGTAGTTTATGTGACTTTAGAGTTGTTACAGTTTTTAACAAGATGCTCTTTCAGATTGTTTTGGTAATACAAATTGTATTCGACGGAGATCAGCATAGGCCGTACTCTGTTGTCAGTAGGTCAATTTAAATACGTTCGTTTTCATTCACTGGCTACAACTAAACCATATGAATGGATTGACTTGTCCTATCCGTTGTCAACGATAACGGCGAATGTCAAATATTGGGGGATGCGGAATACTATCCCCCGGAAAACTACCCCCCCAGGTTAAACGTGACGTCACAAAATCTGCTAACTAACCAATATGGAAGCCGTGTCCGCGACTGGAATACTACCCCCCCTTGACAAATCATGCTATGTAATTTTAATTTTAATTCGAGTAATTCCGTTGGATAATAGAAAAGGCATGTGGTGAATATAAAACAGATTTTCGAAATGTTACAGCAAGTTTGGTTGGTTAGGATAGGTTATATTAGAACTGTTTGACAACTAAATTTGAGTGTCCGTGACTGGAAAACTGCCCCCCTGGTCTCTGACGTCAATATGACGTAGGAACCTGCTTGGGGGGGTAGTTTTCCGGGGGACAGTCTTCCGGCGACCCAAATATTGGTATTGAAGTTTGTAGCAATATTATGGTAGAGTGAAGCTCGTAGTTTATCATGCGTCGACGCGTCCGCGTTTGTAAGTGTCACGGGCGATCGGCAAAAACTGGAACATGAGCGACTGGGCGGCTGAGCGGCTGGGCCAGAAGTAACGGGAAGGTCCAGGATCAAGGTCTGACCCACCCACAACACTGTCACTGCTTGACCTGCATTGTAAACAGGCCCGGCTGTCCTTGCTCATTGGGCTTTATTTGATTGTATATGTCCCGCCTTCACATCTTAGGACATTTTGCTCCAGAGTGGAACCGTTCAGGCTTGACCAAGAGGGTTGCGGAATTATCACTGAGATTAGAACCACTGGCGCTTGGCGGGATGCTTACCGGGGACCTCCGGGACTTAACCACGCTCTTCCACTAGACCAGTTTGTTCCCCTTTTGGGTCTTTGGGATTTATGGCCTTTTTCTAGAAGGGGGCGTCACACTTGAAATTCGTCCTATGCAAATGAAAGTAATGTAAACAAATAGCCAAAGTATGTACGTGTGGACAGAAAGGAATAGTTTGTTTACTTTTAGTAATGGATCGAACTTATATGTGCTCCTCCAACCATGTTCAACCTCTTTCGAACCCACTTGACTGATTTCAATGCGCTTCTTCACTGTAAAAACATGAGTATGCGATATATGCTCGATTATCGGATGCCAGAATCGCAGTGTTAAGCACAGAAAGAAGAGCGCCCGCTTATAATTATGTGACATTCACTGTATTCATTTCACACTCGCCCTTCATTAATATTCTGCCAAGGCGTGTCGGCGTCGTTCTTAAGTTGTTCAGTATTGACTACAGTTTTAACACTATAAACCTCACAATTGTAAAACAGATTTGTATCTGAAAACTAGTTGCCAGGATGTATAAACTTTTCAGTTGCTGATACTATCATTTTCATTGTAGAAGTTTTACACTTTATTGTTAATATATGAAATATTCATAATTTCAGCCATGACGATACGAGCATCCTTGGGAATTGGTGCAAGCAGGTTTTGGTCAATTGGTTGTGAATTTATATTTATCTACTTGAGCTTCGTCTGCAAACCTTTATGTATCCTATTTACAAAAATACAAATATGACTAAGGTATCTTCTGTTTTGTATAATCTTAATATCTACTATACAGAATACATTTGATTGATGGTAAATGTCTGTTTTATCCCTGTATGACGTGATTTGGACCTTAGAGGTCCTCGATATCGACTAAACTTCATTGACCATTACGTTAACTTCAACAATTTCAGTCGGACGAATTTCGCCACAAAATCTAAAAGAAAGTGCCATAGCCATACTAACTAGAATTCCCAACTTGATGATTCAATTAAAACTCGTTAAGAACCGATTTTCACTAAATCTCAAACAGAAATTCAAGGTTAGTGTGCTATTTTCGGGCTCTTATGGCTCTGTGACAGCTAAGTAATGATATGATCTATTTGGAAACTTCGGGATTCCAAGAAGTATTTGTTTGATCGTGTACGAGGGCGTAATTGATACTTGTGGCTACGGCTAGCCTGCGGTCAGCCGTCTGACCACTGGGGTATGTCGCCAAGGTCTCAACGAAGTAATTAACATTGTGTCTCGGCGCCTGGGAATTAGATCTAATTACCGTCATCAGCCCAAACATGGTAATTGACCAACAAAGGTTTAGACGGTGGCGTTGGACAAAGGGTGTTTACTAAATTCTTGAGACGTGTAGTAACTTTAATGTTCGTGAATTTCTGCGTAAAACCATAGATTAAAAGAGTAGTGTCTACTAATTTAATGGTAAAACAAGGAAGGATTCAAATTTACAAAATTGTTCTGCCAAAGTAGGCTATTTGTTTGTTTATACAATTAACCTGGGTGACGAAAACAGTAATCCAGCAGGACATACGACGGACGGGAGTTGTCACAATAAAATGATTCTTTTAAGATTTTTTTTTTGGTAGCCTATTGGGATTTTGTAAAGTCAAACGTTACAATTAAATTCGTGTAAAATATTTAGACCCTAGTGTGTTTAAAATGTTTCTTGGGTTTCATAAAACTTAAATAAATGTCTGCCTACGTGCTACGGCCTCCCTTTTAGCAGAAAGCTTTTTGCTCTCCTCACTGTAACGGAGTATTTTGAAATGCCCGTTATATCGTAGATTCATTTTTTGAATCAAACTAATGTACATATATACAGGGTAACAACTCAATAGAATTCCACTATTAGATTTAAAGAAAACATAAACAAATGGTAAACGTCAACTATTTTCTTATGACATAAAAAATGTGATTTCCTCATTTCAAAAATGACCGCCATTCTCCAATATTGGCGGCTATCTCATATGAGTTGAATCTTCTCTTGAAGGTGTTGCGTTATTTTCGTTATCAAATCCAGTGTAAACTGCTGTTTTATTAATGGTTGTGTTGCGTTGCTGAGAATGCTTTCAAGGAACACCAAACTTATTGGGCGGTGACGTAATGTAGGCTACATTGCTCGCGCTAGCGTCTTGCTGCTAAGTTTGAAGCATTGGCCAAGTAGAATACGCATCATTAAAGAAATCTTAATCTTAATCTTAATTTGATGTGTGTTGCATGTCCGGTGAAGATTAGTGTGCTGATGTTTTAATCTTGTTATATGATAGTTTTTCTACGCGAGCCTGAAGTTCATACAAATAACAGTAAGTCAGTACATAGACAACTATTCGTTTATTTTTCGTCATTGTTTTACAGTTAGTATAATAAAAAGATAATCCATAAGGGGAGATGTTAAAATATATTTATTTGTATATATTTCTTGATTTTGACAAAACTCAAGTTTATTATATTGTTACCAGTCAACACTTAATCGCCGATGTCGAAAGATAATGATTGTAAGACTGGAAGAAACGCGGATCTGAAGATCTGAAGATCGTGTTTTGCTGAGTGAAAGCCTCTGTACGAAGGACCACGTCAATTTTGTGGTTTGTCTTTTGACGTTCGTCGTTCGTCCTTGGCTAAACTACGTCGTCCTTGCTATGCGGAGTCTGCAATCTGTTCCTGTTATTTGACAAAATTGCAGAGTGAACAGGCAATCAGGTCCGAGAGGTAGAAATGTCAGACGAAATGACATAACTAGCGAGCTTTATCCTGCTCAATTCTCCAAGTAAATGCGTAAAACGCTCCGGCCGAGCAAAACTACTTGAACGTTGCTTTGAGTTTAAACGATTGTTTTACGACGCTTCAACTGATTTGGAGGTAACGGCCCTCAGATCACACTTTTGAATCATGTAGTTTTTTAAAGTGAAGTTACAATGTTGATAATACTGGGATCGAGTGTTATACACTAAACCATCTATGTATTACTACTCTCATGGACCCATGCTACCTTATTATGTTACGACTCTCTATTAATTTCATGTCGGCCACGATTACGAACACTTTTATGTCAGCTACGAATTGACAGTGATTCCTATGGATAGTTAGAATTTATATTACAAAATACAACAGAGTAATATTTTGTATGTGATTGGAAATCCGAGGCAGTGAAAATCCAACTCACATCAAAATTGTGTTCTTATAGATATTTTGTTAAGGATTTCTGCAAAT